GGCACAGGCGATCCTTCCGCCTCAGCCTTCCAAGTAATTGGGATTACAGGTGCATGCCACCATGCCTGTAATTTTTTGATTTATTGTAGAGATGAGGTCTCGCCAAGTTGTCCAGGCTGGTTGCGAACTCCTGAGCTCAGGAAATCCTCTTGCCTCTGCCTCCCAAAGTGCTGGGATTACAGGCTTGAGCCACTGTGCCCGGCCCCCTATAATATTCTTAATAATTGGTAGAATAAACCTCTGCTGAATTGTATATTAAAAATTTCAGCTCTATGCTTTTCCATATATACTTTTAGAATTGTATCAATTTTGTATTAGATGGGTTTTAGGAAATTCAGTGTTAGTTTCTAGGAATCTGGCATGACTCCATTTGTTTGGCTCCTGTTTTCTTTATTGAAAGCTGATATTTTTCTTGTTATTTATTCCTAAATATTTTTGAGTTTTGAACATATCTTAAGATAGTACTAAAATTTTTGCAGTAAAATTTTAAAGCAAATATTTTCTTTAGAATTGTGGTAGATTGACATGTTTTAGTTAATTAACTAATTTAATTAATAGTTGATACATTATTGGTTTTTCCAAAAAGTAAAATATCATATTAGCATAATTTTCTCCTTGATTTAAAGGGGATTTCAGAATCTTTAAAGGTTGTTATTAACTTTATCTATGAGTGGCACACTAAATAGCTATTAAGGTTCTGGATAAATAGAATTTGCTGAATAATTTTCTCTTTTTTAAAAATACTATTTTGTCCTAAGGTTACTACAACTGTAAATATGAAACAGGGCTACTACTCAATAGATGGATGCATTAAAGAAGACTCTCTAATGGAAAAACTGCAACCTAAAATGTATGTTCTATGTGTACTTGTTTTAGTATTTAAAGTTTATTGTGTTTCTGAAATAATTTTTGAATTATTGATAAAACAGCATTCTTAGATCTGTGTCTAACCCATTGTCTGTAGAGTGCTCTTCAAGTTCCTAAGAGCTTCATTGGCCGGGCTCGGTGCCTTAGCCTGTAATCCCAGCACTTTGGGAGACGGAGGTGAGTGGATTGCCTGAGCCTGTAGGTTGGAGACCAGCCTGGGCAACTTGGTGAGACCTCATCTCTACAATAAATAAAAAATTAGCCGGGTGGGGAATTGTGCGCCTGAAATTCTAGCTACTTGGAAGACTGAGGCGGAAGGATTGCCTAATCCCAGCAGGTTGATGCTGGGGTGGCCTTGAGTGTGCCATTGCACTCCAATCTGGGCGACAGAGTGAGACTCCAACTCAAAAAAGAAAAGAAAAGAAAAAGAAAAAGAGCTTCATTAGCTGTCAGTAGGACAGAGACTACAACTCCTTAAAGTAACAGTGTTTATTTGTCCTTATTTAAAATGAAAGAAAGATTGCAAGAATTACCACATCAAAACAACCAGGTGGAGAGCCCAATACTGGCTAAAGTTATTGGTGCTGGATGTAATGAAGTTACAGAGAAAAAAAGTAACTTGCTTCTGTCTTCATTCTTAAGGGTAGCATAAGTACAATATGATGGAAGATTGAGAAGAGGTGGTTTGAGAGGTGATTTATAAAAGGAAAAATAATTACTTTGGGATTCTGTCATTCACTTTTTAAATTCTTCTATAAGACTTTATACATGTATGCATTGATAAATGCTCTTTTTGAATTTGTAATAGGGTTTTTTTTTTTTTAACATACCCCAACTGGAGATGAGCACCTATGTTACTGTTAGATAAAGAATCATAATATTTTGACATTTGCTGTGGTTTTTCTTAAGTCATTTCACAGTCCTAGCTAAGTTTACGTTTAGTGTTGGTTATGAGATGATCATGATTGAAAGAATGGTAAAGTTTAACTTTGCAATATTTTAAATGTTAAAGAATCTTCTGATTAATGTACTGGGACCCTACTCAGATGGTAATTACATTTTTGTATAACTTTTAAAAGCACGTTTAATATGGTAGTAAACTGTGCAGGAAATAAAGAGAAATATAGGATACCTTCAAGGAACAGTCTCATTTGGAACTTTCCAATTTTGTTAATGGCACCACGTGTCTATAACTCACCCCAGTTCCTCATATTACATTCTTTTTACCTCCTGCAGATTCTAACTTCTACATTATCTCCTCTATCCCTAGCCTATCTTCCATTTCTACTACTACTATTTAATTCTCTTGTTCTATTTTGCCTAGCTTCTTACCACTTCCACACTCTTCCTTGCTCTGTGGGTTTTCATTGCCTAGTCAATTAAAATTCAAAATTCTTTAGTCTAAAATCCTTAGTTCTTCACGTTACCACTATAGCTTCTCTTTGCTGATTTAAATGGGTGCTTAAAAAAAAAAAGAATGGTTATAGTCATTTCCTTGGTTAGTAAACCCATATTGATAGAATCTGAAAGTGAAGCCGGGCTTATTGAAGACCAGTACTTCTCCCAAGTCCTGTAAATGTATTCCACCAGTCACTTCCTCCATGAGCTCTGTGTAGAGTGATTAGAGTAAATCTTTAGGAATCCTTCTGGCCCATGGTGAATCCCCATATTTATCAAATTTTGGAGCCCCAAATTTGAACACCCATAGGAGTCAAGCAGATGGCTTAGCAGGTGAGGTAGAATGAGTTTAAACAGTAAGTGGTAAGGATTGCAGCTCACCCCCTCCATGGAGGCAGTTCCTAGTCAACTCTAACCAATCGTCTCTATTCTATTAGAGACGATGTCTCACTATGTTGCTATGTGTTAGGACCAACCCAATGTTGAAGGATCTTTTTCTTCCTAAGACAAATTAGAGATCTGTACTTCTGTGTAAAATTTTTTGACTTTTAACACATCATGAAAGTCATACCAGATTGTACTCTTATCTAGATATTAATTAGGTTTGCAAAGTGAAATTTCATACTTAAGCCAGATGTGGTGTCTCGTGTGTAATCCCAGCAGTTTGGGAGGTTGAGGTAGGAAGATAGCTTAAAATAGGTCAAGACTAACCTGGGTAACATAGTGATACTCTGTCTCTGCAAAAAATTAAAAATTAGCCAAGTGTGGCAGCACATGCTTGTAGTCTCAGCTAATCAGGAGGCTGAGGCAGGAGGCTTGCTGATCCCAGGAGTTCAAGGCTACCATGAGCTATGATTGCACCACTGTACTCTAGCCTGAGTGACAGAGTGAGACCCTGTCTCAAAAAAAAAATTTCACTTTCAGAGGTATATGTGGATCCTTCTTAACCAAAAAGTACCCAACTTTGTTCCAAATTACCATTTTTAAAATAAAATTCTTCATGTCAATTGTACTTATGATAGAAACTGCTGATCTCTAATTTAAGTACAGTTTGGTTTAAAATGGTTGCATATTTTAGCCAGGCTCGGTGGCTCAGCCTATAATCCCGTGCTTTGGGAGGCTGAGGTGAGTGGATTGCCTGAGCCCACAGGTTCAAGACCCGCCTGGGCAACTTGGCAAGACCTTATCTCTACAATAAATCAAAAATTATCCAAG